CCCTTTCCCACCTTTTACTCCCCATTTTCCCCAAACACGGGCGGCAACACATCTGCATATCTATGTTGCAGATGTCAATGGGCGACGGTAACTACCTACCATCAAGTAGGCCGTCTGCTCCGTTGCCCCCTTTTCCCATAAAAAAAAAAAACATTAACAAATAAATTTTCCGTAAAATAGTCCTCATAATGAAATCAGAATCAAGGAAAACTACAGTTTTATAAAATACATTTTATCTCGACGTTTCAACTGGAACATGTAAATAGGTATTAGAAGGAAATTGTGACAAAGGCTTAGGTAACAGGTGTGCGCAGAAATTCTTGTTATTCAGCTAATAAACAAATGAATCACAACAAAAGCACGGAAACAAACATTCAAAAGAATACTTCCACGTCCATGTAAATGATGGAACAAAGGCTCCGACGAGCGCGAGGCGAATACATTACCCACCAACTGTTACAGCTTCGATCGTGTTCAAATAACACTAGTTCTGTCCCGGCGTTGCTCGATACTCATCAATACAAGGATATATATTCACAGTTCTGAGCCAATATCTCCGTTGCAAGTCGCGAATTAATCTATGTTAAATCTCCCAAAGATTCCGCGAGCTTTAGCATACTAATAATTTTATGTAGTATTATGATGCGGACAGACAGACAGACTAATATGTTGTTAGTGTGTCTGTTCATTATGTAAGCCGATGGATGTCATCTCATTCTCGTGCGTTGCATCTGTTTTGCATACAGGCTACAGCTACAGATTACACTGGTAGAACTTACATCATATTATTTCTGCGACTTATGACTAAAATATAATTTAAATACACAGCAAAAAACCTATATATTAATTCATATGACATTGAAGATACTTTGTCTATACCCCTTGAGTTTATTTATACAAACAATCAAAATGTTATAAGTATTATTATTATTAATCTGAATATATATTGACTTACTTAATTAATGAACATTGCAGTAGTATATATTATTCTTATATAGTATATTTAGTATTAAAAATGTAGCTCGAATTATAACTGTTTTTTTAATAACAATGCTTTGACAGTAGTGTTTTAGGAAAACTGATAAATTTGTCAATTGTAGCTGTCAATTATACGAAATATGACTTCCATTATTATGATCGTGATGAAGATATTGATAAACATTTCGACAAACTTCTTCGTATTTCTTCAACAAAGTACTTCAATATTATAGTTTGTCTAACAAATAAAAAAATTGAAATTAGCAAACTATTCCATGATTACTTTGCGAGTGAAGCCATAGTAAAAAAATATTAATTTGTTTGAAGTACGGTAAACCACGGATTAGGTTTGAAAACGATATCATAATTCTTAAAAGAACACAATTACATCATATCAAATTATATAACAATCTTTATTTCCTGAAACACTATCACGTAACGTACAATATATATAAATGAATCGCGCCCTGGATGTGTAATTTAATGTCATTTTAATTTCTTGTATCTCAATAAAGTCGGAGGTGTATCATTTTAACTTGTGTCGAAGTTCAAGGACGTCGTGATCTCCTTGTTTCACCAAAATCAGCAAATGTCACGAACAAACATTTTTACACATCACGATCTTCAGGTAGATGTCCGATACGATAATAACAATGAATGTCGTGTCGTAAGTCGTGGTGTAAATATATGTAAAGGTACAATTATATTTGAATTGCCCCTCTATATATATCTCGCATTAGACTAGTCTGAATAGATCCCTGTAAAAGGGACTTTGTGTCCTCAACAATTATTTTAAACATGATTTTATAATATCTATCTAGTAAGTAACACGGTCCATATAAAAACGTTAACATTGGCAAAATATTCCACGATTCCAGTGCGAATGAAGTGTAGCATATAAAAACGTTACCCATATTTTATAAACGGTATGTTTAATGAATGAGACAAAAAAAAAATTTGTACGAAATGTTCATCTTAAATTAAATCCACCACAAAAACATATTCAGCGGTTCTATTAAATATACGTCGCTAAGTTATCTCATCATCAAATCTTAATTCCAAGCTTAACACAATTTTTGTCAGGTATCAAATTAATTAATTTGATGATAATAGACAAGTTTATGTAAAATATGAAATAATTGTGATTAATAGGGGAGAGTCGGATATATCGTACCACTTTTCACTTTAACTCAAATATTTCGACTTTAACACGTCTTATAATTATTAATACATATGTAAAATAAAGTTTCATATTTTAGCTTCCTAAGAAGAAGAGAACAGATCCTTGCGATTATTCTAACATTGTTAAAAATGCTTTTTTATAGAGGCTTGCCATCGGTACGATTTAGCCGACTCGTCGTTTTAATCGTACCACTAAGTCTTTAAATCGTACCATGGGTGTTTAAGTCGTACCACTGAATGAAAGACATTAAAATTCTCAATCAAATTATTTATTTTTGACTGTTAGGTAAGTAATGAAACAACATTATTTATATCTTTTAGGTAATAGAAACATAATTTTTAACTCTTAGGTTATATAAAGGAACTATAAGCTTTCTCAGTAAAATAACATGATTATACTATGATAATGAGGTCAATCAACATAACTAATAAAAATGAGACACAAAAAAACAGTAAACTATAATAATAAAGTAACAGTTAACAAGAATGTTATTTGTAATATAATTATTGTGCATATTTCTTAATGGAAACAATCATGACAAATGTCTGGATTCGAAGTACATGTCTCATGTAGCCACCGTTTACAGCGAACGCATTGAATCCAATCAACTTTTGGACCCTTCTCATCGTAGTAAGAACAATTGAACTTTCGACATATATTTTCAAGATAATCATCGCTGTCATCATCATCTAGTTCTACAACAAATGTCTCTCCTGAATCATCGCTACTGGTGATGGAATGAGATCGTTTCCTCTTATAACTTTTGTTTTTGGCCTTGGGTAGTACTTACTATACGTACTTGCGGTAGTACTATAGGTACTTACGGTTGGTAGTCGGGTAAATCGTACCAGTACAATTTAACCAAACGCAAGTGGTACGATTAAACCAACTAAGGCATTTCTAAAACAAAAGCAAATATCCGGCATAAACTCAAAACTTAGACACACAACAAAAACCTCCAATAATCTAGTATACAATTGTGGAATAATAAAAAAAAACTGAATAACTATAGCATACCTTGATTACGAGTTATCTCCTTACGAATGTACGACAATATTTATATTAATACCTACAAAAAATGTTTTTCTTTTATTACGTGCCCAGTTGTTAACTCACGTCGATTTAAACTAGTGGGTGAAGAGGGATGGTACAGGGCCACGATTTGGCGTTGTCAATGTAGAAAAAAATATTCATTAAATGGGAAATTTAGAAGTGGTACGATTTAAATGCTAGTACGATATAACCAACTCTCCCCTACGTCACAAGCGCCTGAAATAATATTAAAGAATGAGATATATTTAACGAGTATTTATTTAAATGAGACTAATATTCTTCGGATATACTACGCGTGCTTTATTATTGTAAAAAACTACATACTCCCAACTTTTCAGCTACGAAAACTATAGTGTACTATTCGGTTAGTTTTTAGCAATCGCGATCACTCTTACTGAAAACTAACCGAAATTTTACGGAGTATGTAGTTTACAAAAATAAAGCACACGTAGTATATCCGAAAAAATATTAGTTTCATTTAAATATTAAAGAATTTAATATTAAAATATTAAAACGAACATGTTATTTCAGTCGTGTCGTAAACGTATCTTTCTACTGTTAAATATAAAGAGCGGGTGGTGTAAAGGTTAGTTTTAATCATTTCACGGAGTCAAATGAAGATTTCCTTCAATATATATTACTGTGCCGACATTATGTTCGCACTTTTATATCATTAATTAGTCGTTTAGTCTGGCTTATTTATATTTAAACGTAATAAAAAATAATGTCATTGCAAAGTATATATATACATATGTGTTCAATAGTTCATCTTTCTCGACATTGTTTATCTTTAAAGCCGCTGTAAGAAGTAAGGTGATATATATGTATATTGTGATTTGGATGATACAATGAATTAAAAGATTAATAGTTTCTCTTTAAGAAAATAATTTTATTCTTAGGTTTTCTACCAAGGTTACAATCTATACTAGGTTAACAATAAAAAGCTTACAACACTAACCTGTAATAAAACAAACGTTATTTAAAGCCATTTTACAATGTCGATTCCAATATCAAATTAAAAATAAATATGATCTATTTTACAAGTTCTCTACTTGGTAACAGTTTCGTTATATTATACTATAGAAAATAAAGCACAGATAACAATATTTGCTGTTTGTCTATGGCACGTGAAGAAAATTATATTTTTCTTTATATATATATAATGTCAGTGTGAGTGTGTGTCTGTCTGTAACACTGTATCTCTCAACCCGATCTACCAATATCGATGAAGTTGAGTTATTATGAAAACTAGTTTCCTTGCGGTGAATCCAAACCATGATTAGATTTATATCTAAATGCGTTAGGGTTTTTTGTTTTTTGATAAAACCATATTTATTATTGGTAATTCCAACAATTAAGGCTATATTATTATGAAAATTTTTATTATTTATCTTACTAAAATTGACGTATATATTTCTTAAAATATCTCAATCTATAAATATGATTGTTACGTTATTTTATTAAACACTGAAATCATAATCATATGTGAAGGTCAGTTATAGAGTTACAAAAAAAAGAATCAGGAACTAAGAAATAAGAAATATATTGAAATCATTATTACTAATTATTTTTATTAATAAACTTTAACTGAATATATATTTTTGACATTAGAAATGTACAAATATATATTATAATTTAACTTGAACTGAATGTTGAATAATGAAAACACGTGAGGTTTTGTAGTAGCACTTATAATTATGCGAAAATACACTCTTTTCAAGTAAAATAAATCTAAATGAAGTTATTTATAATAAGTGAACATGAGTTATGTGATTAATGTATAACCTCAGTGAACACTCTGACCAGGTCTGAGATGTATAACCTCAGGGTAATTTGGATCCCCGTTGCCTCTAACGACGTACACTGTCTGAAAACCTTCAAATCTATGAGAAGTCTTTTTGTGATGACTTTCATCGTATGAAAACTGATTATAAGTTGGTTTGTAAGCGTTTGAGAAGAAATTCCCATCGATTCCAGATACATAATTATAAGAAGGAAAAGTGAAGCCTCTAGTTTTTCTATGACTACCCTCTGATTCATCGTACGGAAATTTTAATGTATTTATAATATGATTAAAATTATTAATATCATTATTATTAATGTCGGGAAATGTCCATCGATGTGTTTTCTGATGAAAATTCTCATATTCTCTAATAGGATTATTCTGTATTCTCTTCTGTATTCTATTTCCATATTTATCGTTGCTATATGGAAAAGCAAATCCATATTGATGTCCTGGAGTATAGAGACTTGGTCGGTACAATCCATTGTTTGGTGAACCGTATAACCCATAATACTGGTTGTACATTTGGTTCTGATGTAACTGGTTATTGATTTGTTCAAAGTTCTGCCGGTCTGGTGCGTTGAAAAAATCTGTGAACGAAAAATATACATATAGAAATTAATTAATATTATAGAAAGAAGAATAGAAAAGTATAGTTAAAAGAACCAAAAAACTGAATTGATAATGTAATTAAATTTTATCATATCATAACAAGTACATATAAGCTCCACTTAAAACTCCAATAAAACAAAATTAAGAGTCAAAAAAATTGTGACTATATAAAAATGATCGCTTTTAAAACGCTTTTTGAAAATTTTAAGTGCCCGAATGAATCTACGACACAAACATGAAACGACAAATTAATTTTAATTTTGAATAAAACTTATACTGTGGATTACAAATAATAATAAGAATGATTATGTACTGAATAAGAAAAATATACGGAGTTGAAATTAACTGACTTACAAAGAGAGAGAGTATAGCTAAGTGTAGTAGTGCCCTTCAAAGAATCTATCATTACAGAGGGATAATAATAAAAATAGCTTCATTACGTAAAGAAACCTCCATTATGGTTGTTGAGGTAATGGACTAGTTCCTCTGTGTCCGTAGGGCAGAGAGGATGAGCGGCAATACACGAGGCCTTACTGCGGGAGGCTCCTACCAGCAGCGCCCGCCCGAACATTTGAACCGGGGAAGACTGAACACCGCTGTATGCTGCTACTAGGCTAGAATAACACGTAGAAGAATCATACAGAGGAATTTCATACTAGAAAGGAAGACACTTCTGTCGTTCAGATATAAATACACAAGAGAATTTTACTGTCTTATATTTATTGGAAAAAATCTATTATGTATTTTTAAATTAAACTTAGTAGGAAATGTCAAAGAAATTAGATTTTAATTATGTAGGGTGGCAACTGGAGGCTCCAGGACAACTACGAACCTTACTTATATGTATATTGTAATAAGAAATACATATTAAACTCATAACCTACACCTAAGACTACATGATTGCCCCGATGTTAGGATAGCAATACCATTCCATAGCTTGTGTGTATCAGGAATCTTCTGGTTCACACGGCTTGGTGTTCGTTCTGCGGAGTCAGCGGCGTCACTCGTTATATGATATTTTATCCATACAACGGTGTTGTCCCGGCGATGTTCATTATTTTAACATAGTCATTAATATTTTGGGGTGTTTTAATACTAACGTCAATAGGGGTTGTAACCCTGAGACTCTGTCGAACAGCGAGGAGGCTGGCGACCCACTGACCGCCTCGCACAGTAACCGGGCCACACACTGACGATCATCGTGCTCACTGATAGATGATAACGCGTTACTCACTGATGATAAGAATGAAGAGGTGGCTGATGATGCTGGAGACGAAGATTTCATTCATGACTACTACTTAGATACTGAAACTATTGCTATTAACTGATGTACTACACAGTAAGTTCAGTTATGATGATTATAGTAAGAAGGTTGGTCAACAAAATTACGTCACTGTTGTTATTTTTCTTTAAAAGTGTATGAAAAGTAATATAGAAGTAGATTTATACAATATATCTATATATAGAATTTTGGGAAATATTCAATATAATTCATTATAGTCAAACTATCACTAACATGACAAAAAACATAAAAAGCCATAATATTATCTACGCACCGTAGTTTTGTTCTGCCTTATAAGGATATCGGTTTAGTCCACTACCGGGGGCGTAGTATTGAGTTCCGGGATCATTTAAGCCAATGTAATTCTGTTTCGGTTTCCTTCGTCTACGTTTTCTTTTTGGTAAATTGTAATTATTAACATTTTGACTGTCTTCATTGTTATCAAAAAAGTGACCATCTTCATCAGTAGCATCATTAAATTTGATTCTATGTGTATTATATCCATCATTTTCGTTATATTTAAAATTTTGATCATTTTCTATAGCTAGTAATCCATACCCAGCTCTGGCGATGGTTTCATTAGAATCCGGTATATCACTTAAATATAATAGCACTTATTAATATTATATAAAAGGAAATAAACAAAACCAAGTATTATGCTCATGATTTCATCATGTCTTAACTAACTATAAGCATAATCAATGATTTGAATAATAAGATTTCATTTTAATTCAATTTATTACATAAACAACTCGACTTAATTATCTTTCTTAAATCAACTTACGAGAGCAATTCCTCTGGGCTGTAGTTTGCTATTGTTTTATTTGCAGGCGCATAGTTCGGTGCGCCGAATGACGATTGAAAGAACATAAATATTAATGCTAATATCATCATAACAGCTTTACCTAAAAAATGTGATAATTAAAATATTTTTTGATTTTTATTTTATCAAACTATAGCACTCTAATAGATCCTATAAAAAATAGAATTTTTAGAGTGAATACGTTTATAAAAAGAGTATATCTAAATTGATTCTTTCCAAAAAACGTATTATACTAAAAATAAAAGTAATTCTCAATGTATCATTTTACTAACTTAATCTTAATTACTCAATAATTCTTCAACTGAACGACATAGTTTAAATATTTGACTCATAATAATGCGTCCGACTGGTATGTCAGCCTTATTCAATATGTCATAGTTTTTATAAATGAAATGTAAATTCGTGACATCCATTAGAATACTTGAAGCTTTCTATTAAGACATTTTAGAACTTTTAAGACGTTCCCACGATCACTCACTGACAAAAGTTATGTTTAGCATTCTATTAACTTGTGGGAGATGATTGTTAGTGAAAGAATCGACCTAAATATTAAATATATGTGTGTTTTAATTGTTAAAGCCTTATGAAATAAATAAAATATTTCTCATAAAAGAATTTAAACTGATTAGAGATTTTATTACAAAAACCAAAAGAAAAACCAAAAAGTGTTACTGCAAATTTTTTTGATGTTAAAAACGTAATTATACAAATTACAAGTAAACGGTTCAAATAATCAATCGTTAACTCGAAAATAATAGTTTTGAAGGATATAAAGAGTTTGAGAACTAAATACGTTTGGAATTTCATACATTACAGTTGAAGTATAATTTGGGTAATTTTACAGATGGCACTAACTAGGTTAATAATATATAATAAGAAATGTTAATTACGAGAATATTTAAATAAATAACATAATGGTATTTTAGAAGAATTTAGGTTGAAATATTATAATAAAATAAGAAAAATATAGTCACTTACACTTGAAAACATGTGATCACACAAAAAACAGAAATACAAATGTGAAAACTAAATGATGTTTGTCGTAGAAAGTTATGATGACATCACAGGTTACCTCATCTCATGAGAAAGGACTGACGAAATGAGAAACAGGATTCGCCTTATAGGAACGAAAACAACAACTGACTTATACGTGCACACTAATGTCATATTTTCTATGAGTTTTAAAATGTAGTATACATAATGACATACGGTGAAGGAAAACGTCGTGAGGAAACATGGACTTATAATTTCACAATTATAAGTTTGAAATAACCAACCCGTCTTGAGCTAGCGTGGTGATTAATGCTCAAACCTTCTTCATGTGAGAAAGAGGCCTTTCTTCAGCAGTGGGCTCTGATAGGCTGATGATGATACATAGAGAGAAATACAATAGCCATTTACTAAAACCCTCATATTCATTTATCTTTTTAAAATGTTGCACACACGAAAATGGATATTAGCACACTTATTTAAAAGCAAGGATAAGAAAAGTATTATTTCATATATACACTAATAGAGATCTAAGACTTTTGTCAGTTTTATTCATTTAAATGAAACTAATATTTTTGTGATCACGGTTGCTGAAAAGTAACCGAAACGATCGGGAGTTTGTAGGTTTTTACAAAACTAAAGCACGCGTAGTATATTCCCAAAAATATTAGTTTCATTTAAAAATATATACAAATCATGTAAATTTACTTATTGGCAAAGATCATATTCAAAAAGAATCTCCGAAAGTCAAGATACATTGTAATACTAAGAGCTACTAAAACTGATATCAGAATTTCGACTTCGACTTTCGACAAATACTTTTAATTTATGAAGATGACTAGGTACTACTTCGTTGTATCGGAATAGAATTTACATAGACGTTTATATATACTATACACATATAAATAAACATACGAATAATATGACTTATAATATGTATATAAATAAATACGAAGCGAATAAAGAAGGAATGAAAGTAACTAAGTTCATTTGTATATATGTTGGTGAGAGACAGATTTCATATTTAAGATGAGATTATCAAATAACTGATTAGCTCGCCATAATAGTAGTGAATATTAGTTCTATGTATTATTATGTGATACAGTCCACTTAACATTTATAAACTATTAAATTTTAGTAACAAATAAACCATGACAACGCTCACAAGTCTCTTTATTACGCATATTTTCGGTCATTCTAAATTGAGCCTTATCGCCTTGAACATTTGATGAATTATATATATTTTTTTTTATAAAATATATGTAAATTTAAAGCAAAAACCTTCATGATTCAAGAATATTAAATTTTCCTTGTTTACAATATCTAGTTTTAGCTAAAAGTTACCAATGACAATGAAATCGTTACCGCTATTGATGTATAGACTATATCCAGTTAAATGATAATTTATTATTATAACTTAATTATTATTGTTTTGTTTTGTAATCTGAATATATCTGATTGAAAGTTAGTTTTTAAATCAATAATATAAAAGCTTAAAAGAAACAAAAATTTTCGGATCACTATGCGTGTTTTATTATTTTTAAAAAATGACATACCTACTCCCGATCTTTCGGTTAATTTTTTAAAAACCATGACACGTGATTAGTTTCATTTAAATCAACACAAGCAAAAGTCTTAAATCTAATAATGTAATATATTTGTTTTAATAAAAATTTGATCGAATATTGATCTTAATATACTTAAGATCTAATAAGGAAAGTGTTTGTCATAATAATTTACGTACTATTGTCCGAACAATCCCAAATTAGTTTCACGATAGATAAATGTATAGTAGACCTTCAACATGCTAAAATACAAGCCCATCTATCCTTGAGTGATGCCCATGTACAGCTGTATACGTGTTCTGGCTATGTTGGCGTTAGATGAAGGATTCTTTAATTTTGAATCTCATTTAAAAACATTTTAATGGAAAAAACTTAATGAATAACTTAAATCTAGCCTCCAGGCTCCAATAGATGAAAAACTATAAATCTTATTTTAATATTATTAACAATTTAGTTATATTTAAAAAGTTTTCTTGGAGGACTTTTATTGAAAAGATAGTTCCCTATATATTTTTATTTGTTACGAAAGCCTTAAGTTAACAGAACTACTTTTTACATAATTTCTAAATATATATTAAAATACCACTCGTAAAACTTTTCATCAACATTATAGTTTTAATCATTGATACAACCACATTTATATTAATTGTATTTTGTAGATACAGATCTGAAACGATACTGCATACAGTTTCGTTTTCTACCTGGCAATTTCCCAGCTTTAGCCAGGCCTCTTTGGGAATGCATTAATCAGTGATGTCTAAATACTCTTATTAAGTACATATGACTCGGTATATACATATGTACTGTGTATAGTTTGTACAGTTGTAATGTAAGTTAAACGTTTATTAATGTAGTACATAGTTGTAATCTGTTGATGGACTTGTTATTTGACAACCTTGATCCACATAACGTCTCGACGCTCAATCGAGTGCACTACACATACTACTAGTTTATTTAACACACTGCAGACGCTGCGTTTATAGTTAAGTGTCAGAAATCTTCGTACACTCTTGTGTGAAAGTAGTTTTTAAACGCTGCTAATATTTTGTATGTAGTGTACGATGTTAGAGGCTACCTTAGTAGGATCGTAATGAGAGGAAGAATTCTGTTATAAGACTGTGTAATTAAAATCAGTTGTGATTTGTATATTATCTACTAGTTTTCGTCCGCGACTTCGTCCGTGTTAATTTTGGAATTAGTAATATATGTATAGCTGACCGGGCGAACTCTATTCCGTTCTAGAAGTCGTAAGTAACCAGATATTGAAATTTATTGTGTTTTTTTTTTCCTCAATCAGAATTAAATATCCTATGTACTTTTTATGTTCTAAGCTATATATCTCTAGCAATTTTCAACCATATCCATATAGTTGTTCTTAAGTTATAAATAGTGTAACTAACACTACTTTCTTTTATTGAACATAAGTTCTCTTAGTATTTTACCACAATGTGTACTCGTCTTAAGGCTACAGATAGTTCGTTCAGAACCGGTTCCCGTGCCTCACCAGCCGGTCAGCCTTCATGATGTGTCACTGTCGCTGATTTTGATCCAAGTGTTGACAGAATCTGGGTTGACACATCATTGTTTCCTTCAAGTAGGGAGCTACTGAATTATGCATTTGGATGTATGTTAAAAATCTTCTAATACTGGTAAATATTTATTATAATATTACTCGTTTTATTTGAAAATCTTATGTTTTTTATAAGTATGACTTTTATATATTAGGGGAGAGTTGGTTATATCGTACTAGCATTTAAATCGTACCACTTCTAAATTTCCCATTTAATGAATATTTTTTTCTACACTGACAACAACAAATCGTGGCCCTGTACCATCCCTCTTCACCCACTAGTTTAAATCGACGTGAGTTAACAACTGTGCAAGTAATAAATGAAAAACATTTTTTGTAGGAATTAATATAAATATTGTCGTACATTCGTAAGGAGATAACTCGTAATCAGGGTAAGCTATAGTTATTCATTTTTTTTATTATTCCACAATCGTATACTAGATTATTGAGGGTTTTTGTTGCGTTTCTAAGTTTTGAGTTTATGCCGGATATTTGCTTTTGTTTTAGAAATGCCTTAGTTGGTTTAATCGTACCACTTGCAGTTGGTTAAATTGTACTGGTACGATTTACCCGACTACCAACCGCAAGTACCTATAGTACTGCAAATACGTATAGTAAGTACTACCCAAGGCCAAGAACAAAAGTTATAAGAGGAAACGATCACATCACCAGTAGCGATGATTCAGGAGAGACAATTGTTGTAGAACTAGATGATGATGATGACAGCGATGATTATCTTGAAAATATATGTCGAAAGTGCAATTGTTCTTACTACGATAAGAAGGGTCCAAAAGTTAATTGGATTCAATGCGTTCGCTATAAACGGTGGCCACAAGAGACGTGTACTTCGAATCAAGACACTTTTCATGATTGTTTCCATTAAGAAATATGCACAATAATTATATTACAATAATATTCTTGTTAACTGTTACTTTATTATTATAGT